GAACTCTTTTGACAAATCACTGCTAATTTATAAGATGCTGTTGACTGGCTCTCTTGGAGCAATTTCACTAATTTGTAAGCAGAGAACTGTGAGCCTCTCATACACCAAAGTTTCTCTGTTTCCAGGTTAACAGATCAATTTGCCATGTTTTTACATGTAGTTCACATGGTACACTGTCAAACACCCCCCATCAGGTCACAGCTAACTTATGGCAACCTCATGGCATTTTCAAGGCAAGAGATGTCTGGAGGTGGTTAGCCATTGCCTGACTCTGCATTGCAACCCTGGGCTTCCTGGTCATCTTCTATCCAAATACTAACCAGGGCTCACCCTTCTTAGCTTCTGAGGTTGGGCTAGCCTGGGTTATCCAGGTCAGGACTTGCCAAGAGCTAGACTATTAAATTTCATCACCACTCTCAATATTCTACGGTTTTTAGCTGGGGTAATATAAATGGTTTTTAATAGAAGATAGTGAAAGTTTATGCTTTTATTTCTAACAGAGACGTCAACGTAAGGAACTACCTTATTACGGCTTATCAATTTTTGTAACATGAAGCCTGGGCTTGTCCCAAGCATTCTAATATTTATTTATTTAATTGATTGACTGATTTGATTTGTACCCTGCCCTCCCTGCCAAAGCAGGCTCAGGGTGGCTTACACAAAATTGCAACAATAAATAACAGATTAAAACATCGATATAAATATCCTCATAAAACAAAATTACTAAAAACTATTTATATGACGATGGCAGTGCAATAGTAGCAGTAAACATATAGATTACAGTCAGCAAATGATTTTTTTGCCAGCAGGCTCAGGCTGGATGGTGGTGTTGGGCACAGGGTCTTAGATTATTAGGTGCGGCTCCTTACCCTAAAGGCCTGGTGGAAGAGCTCCGTTTTACAGGCCCTGTGGAACTGTAAAAGGTCCTGCAGGGCTCTGATCTCTTCCAGGAGCTCATTCCACCAGGTTGGAGCCGCCACTGAAAAGGCCCTGGTCCTAGTTGATGCCAGCCTGGTGTCCTTGGGGCCAGGGAGGGCCAAGCATTTTGAGACCCTGACCATAGCGCTCTCTGGGGAACATGTGGGGAAAGTCAGTCCCTCAAGTAAGTAGGTCCCTGACCATAAAGGGCTTTAAGCACCAGCACCTTGAAGCAAATTCAGTACGCTATAGGTAGCCAGTACAGTGCTTTTAGCACAGGCTGGATGTGCTCCTGCATGGGGAGGTCCAGCAGCAGCCTGGCTGCCGTGTTCTGCACCAGCTGAAGCTTCTGGATTTGGGTCAAGGACAGCTCCATGTAGAGAGCATTACAGTAGTCCAGTTTCGAGGTGACCATCACATGGATCACTGTCGCCAAGTTGCTGCCTTCGAGGAAGGGAACCAGCTACTTGATCAGCCGAAGGTAATAAAAGGCTGACTTAGCAGTGGCTGCCACTTGGGCCTCCATTGTTAAGGAGGCATCCAGGAGCACTCCCAAACTCCTAACCTCCAATGCTGGTACCAAAGGCGCCCAAATCGAAGGACAGGAGTGGAATCCCTAACCCCGGGCTACCCTGACTCAGGCACAGGGCCTCTGTCTGATATAGCTGACACAGATTCCGCATCTTTCACTGCAGATACTAATTGGGTTACAAATAGTTAAAGATTACTGCTGAATATTCTTAAAATGTTGTTATTACCTTTTGATTTCTTATCTGATTTCTTAAACTATAGTCATGCATACAAAGGTATTTACACAAGAACTTGCACCATCCAAATCAGGGCCAATAATGACAAATAACTGATTTTGATCAAGCACATTTTTCTTCAGGGGCAGCAATATGATCTCATGTCTAAGACCAACAGTTATGAGCTAGCTGCTTTGCGGATCTCAAGTTTCTCAGTCCAGAAGCCAACATTACATCTTGTAGGACAAGTTTAGAGTCCAGTGGCACCTTTAAGACCAACAAAGTATGAGCTTCCGTGTGCATGAAGTGTGCCTTCACTCCTGCTAACAACTGCCAAGTTAACGATAGCGGCGAAGTGGAAATCCACAGAACCTCCAACGATATCCACGTGGCATGATAAGGTATGGGAGCAATTTGTCATGGCAAAAATCAACAATCTAAGTCAGAGGGCCCATGCGTCAGATGACACACCAAATGTGAAATTCAAGAGATATTGGACGCCGGTGATGAACTACCTAACTAGGCATGAGATACTACCGTCGAACCAGGCTTATCATAGGTGGCTATTTTTATAATCAACTGGCGATTTCAGTTTCCGACCTCGGGACGCTTACCCATTTCACCCTGGTCGATTAGGAGCAGTAACGGAGGGAAATAAGGTTGGAGGGTAGTCTTTGAAGGCCTAGAGGTTAAAATGTTTATACGGTTATGCACCCAGAACTAGAGTACGCAATTATCTTCGCTTATGGATGACTATTTATGCTTTCTGTATGGTTGCTACCCCCTGATGTTTATATTTGAGTGTACTTTCATGTAAAACAATAAAAACAATTAAAAAAAAAAAGTGTGCCTTGCACATAGAAGCTCATACCTTGAATAAACCTTTGTTGGTCTTAAAGGTGCCACTGGACTCTAAATTTGTTATGCTGCTTCAGACCAACACAGCTGACCACCTGGATCTATCTTGGATGACAGTTATTCAATCATCATTTAACTGTCTTGTTGGCCCTGGAAGGGCAGAAAAACAGGGTGCAAATTCTGTAAGTAAGAAAGATCAGTCACTTTTCCCACCATTAATACTAGCCTTGGGTGCAACCAATGTCCAAATGCAAATTTACCAGGGTCATGATCAGTGTTCCCTCTAAGCTGAGTTAGTGTGAGCTAGCTCACAGTTTTTTAGCCTCCGGCTCACACATTTTTGCCTTAGCTCAGGAAGGAGGGCTCCAGAGCAGACTAATTTATGCCGTAGCCAAATCGCTCGCTCACAACTTGAATGCCAGGAGCTCACAGAGGAGAATTTTTGCTCACAATACTCCGTAGCTTTGAGGGAACATTGGTCATGATGCAGAGGGTGTGCATGTGTGTTAATGCTTTCTGTCATGCCAGTTTCCCAGCCTCAGTCACCATCATACAGTTGCTGTTGCCCCATCAGGCAGGGTAGGTCCCATAGAGTTCAATAGTGGGGAAAAGACTCATTATACGGACTGATACTGACCCCCCCCCTCATTGTTGCTATTAACCCTGAATAAAAAGTGGGAGATGCATTCACATTTCTCAATATCACTTTTAGTTGGGCTTTACTTTTTACACCAATGTCTAAAAATGTCATGTGGAAATGTCCGAAACAATGTAATGCAGGCACAGCCATCAGAGAGCTGGCTGTACACCTGACAGAAAAACTACTCTGATGTGGGAAACAGCTCCAAAAAGAGTTTTTCATGTTACTGTAGAGAAACGCAGTATCAGCTATAGGCTTATTACTTTTGAATAACTTGTACTTTCATTACACTTATGTGGTTGTATTTCTCTGTGTACTGCTACTTTTCTGTGCTCTTCAAGCCTCTCCCCATGACCATCTTGTTTTTATTCACTCTGAAACACAGGGTTTTGATACTTTCAGCTCCCAGCAGCTCTTGAAAGACCTGTGTATTACACCACACCTTATTACTCTGTGCATATTTGCTTTATTTCACATTGACTGAGGCCAGTTTGGTGTAGTGGTTAAGAGTGCAGACTCTAACCTGGGAGAACCGGGTTTGATTCCCCACTCCTCCACTTGCACCTGCTGATGTGACCTTGGGTCAGTCACAAGCTCTGGCACAGCTGTTCCTGAAAAAGCAGTTTGTGTCAGAGTTCTCTCAGCCCCACCACCTCACAGGGTGTCTGTTGTGGGGAGGGGAAGGGAAAGGAGATTGTAAGACGCTCTGAGACTCCAAGTGAAGGGCGGGGTATAAATCCAATCTCTTTTCTTCTTCTGCTAAAGTTATCTGAATCTGTAACTTAGTGCCTCAGTGGCACCTATAGATAGCCAAATTCCTAAAGTGGAAAAAGTAGCTTTCTCTGGGAGATGAACTTCACACCCTTCCAACTTGCCGCAAGGAGATATTTCACAACAGACTTCACACCTGACATCTGGCATACTCTGTATATCAAGAATAAATGCTTTCATGGCACATTGGGGAAAGATTAAAAAGTTGTGCAACAACCAGACAGTTCTTTCTCTGTATTTTCCCCCTCCTTGAAGTACAATCTTGGCTCAAACTGCAGATATAAGCAGAAAACAAACACTTGGCCTCCAACTATTAATATTATCTACACCATCTTGTTAGTTAACATAATTTATTACTGCCACTCACAACACACTATGAAACTGACAAACTGAGGTTCTTACATCTATGGTATCTCCAGTTTCACACTTTTCAAAATACATCTGAATGTATTTTAACCACCAGTCACTCTACAAAGCAAATGTCTCATACTAGTATTCACAGCAAAACATTTGCTTATATGCAATACAGCTAACATCAATTTGTGGATTTCACTGAAAGTGTTGCAAACAAACAATGGTGCTTTGACTCTAAAAAAAGTATTGCTTTACATAACACAAACTTTTAGCCCCTCCTCTCTTCTGCATTTCAATCAGTAATCTCCTTCTAATTTATGTAGATTGCAATTTGATGTGACAATAGTACAAAAATGGTTCGATCTCAGAATCCATTTTAGAAGCCAAAAGCTCATATTAGTATGTAGAAGAAACTGCCTCTGAACATGGGCAGAGTATGATTCCTTCTCCAACTCATCTAGGATTAGGAGGGCAACACTTTCAGATGACAAGATGAGACTTTCAGCTGCGTTTCAGCCCCCATACCTCTTTTGCAAACATCATCCACGCTGCTCCAGCAACTAACTTACACAGTTCAAGGCATACTAACTAAACTGCAATTCCGCCATCAGCCTTCCTTCCCTACCTTCCTACGCAGCACGCAAAGCTCCAACTGCCCAAGAAAGTTTAACCTAAGCCGCAAAGGGGCCCTCCACCCGCCCCCCTTTCCTCACCTCAGCCGAGGCGGAGGGAACTCGAAGCGCCTGCTGCTGCTGCTGCCTCACAGGCACCCCGGAACGGCAGCCTCTGATGCCAAGCTGGCCTCGGAAGAGGGTTCGCAGGAGTAAACACCGGCGCCCCTGGGGAGCTGCCGCGGCGGCTGCCATGAGTCCTGACAAGCCCCCGATGTTCTGACACCTTCGCCAAACAGCAACACGGGAATGCCAGCCGGCTGGAGTAACGTGAGCAGAGGGGGAGGGTCGCCCTCAGCCAATAGGAATCCTCCGCCGGCAGGACTCTTCGCCAAGCATTTTGGGATTTGTAGTCGATTTGCCGCTGAGAAGGCCTCTAGAGTACTTCCGCAGTTGGATCGTCTCAGTTATTCCTAGCTCCTTTTGCTATTTTTGAACAAGCAGGATTGATTGGGGATAGGGTTACCAGCCCTGCTGGTTTGGCGGGGGTTGCCCAATTTGGAGGGGCTC